TTTTAAATTTAATTACTTCTTAATTAAAGTCTTCCATGTATTGTAGGTATTAAAATTAATATTTACTTTTATATTTATCTATAAAATTTTATTACAAAAAAATATAATTAATGCATTCTAAAAACAAAATTAAAAAATTTTATATTCTTTTTACAATGAACTCTTGCAATTTTTTTTTTCTTACGAGCTCACTTGTTTAATATCATATTGTGTGAATATCTTCTACTTTTAGGCTTTTTAGTCAATGACTTGGTTATTGAACTAAGCGAAGCTTTTTTATAAATAAAAATAGATTTTTTTTTTGAGATAATAAAAGAAAACGTTGGACTAATTGAGGTAGTACTGGCTTAGGAAGTTTTTACACTTAATACCTGATTTATGTGCAAAATTAAACAAAAGACTAATTCAATGCATGTTTGTTATTTATGTGGTAAAAGAATCCAACGTCCTTGTTGTATGCCTTAGGCACTAAGTAATTATAATCCATTTGCTCTTTATCATGCTTTCTCCAACCTTTGTGATAAAGAATTGCTTTTCAAAAATACTTATTTAATAAGAGTTTTTTAACCGATGTTTTTAGGACATAAGTTAAGAGTATTTAAAGAAAATAAGTTATTAATTATTTAATTAAATTTATTTACATAATATTGATACTAAAATTAATGTTTATTTTTATTTTTTACACAAATTTATTAAAAAAATGACATTAACTTATATTTTTAAGATACATATTAAAAAAATCCATTTTATACCATAAATAATATATATATATAGCATCTCTTCATCTTTTCTTAAGTAAGGACTCCAATTTCAAAATTTTTCATTGGAGTCATCGAACGACACAATTTTTCCTACAATGGAAAAATTAAACAATGACAGCCAAAACACCGTGTTTCGTCGTTAGTACTTAGTAAGCCCACCTCATGCTTAGTTGGCATCACATGGGCTTTCACTTTTTTTTTTTCTTTTACTTTTTGTTAATATCATTTATTTGCATCACTCGGATTACAAAACTTGAGAGTTTGAATCACTTACAAAATT